TACTAGTACTAGTAGGAGTAGGAGGAGTATTAGTAGTAGTAGTAGTTGTTGTTGTAGCAGTAAATAGTCGTAGTAGTCGTAGTAGTCGTAGTAGTCGTAGTAGTCGTAGTAGTCGTAGTAGTCGTAGCAGTCGTAGTAGTCGTAGTAGGAGTAGTAGTAGTAGTAGTAGTAGTAGTAGTAGTAGCGACAGCAGCAGCACGTGCAATTGTACTACAACTAGAACAAATACAGTTTGGAAGCCATACAACGGAAACCTGAAGATATCCACAGACGAAATACGATTTAGTGGTTTTGACAACACAAAGACTGCTGTTAAAGGCACAGAAGCCATTCATTGCATTATGGAAAGAAAAGTTCACGGAATTTGTGCTTTTGGGCAAACCCTGAATCCAAAAAAAGACCTACAACCGACAGCCCTCGACCCTGAACCCGAAACATCCTCTACCGACATCCCTAAGCCCTGAACCTGAAAAAAGTCTGAAACCGAAAACCCGAAACCCTGAACCCTAAAACTATATCCGAAACCCGAACCTCGCTTGCTGGCTCGGGCCCGGACATTCTGCAGGGAGATGCGAGGCTTTTTGCCCAACTCGGCGGGGGATGACATGCCCGCCATTCCGCTTAGACGTGCTCTAGGGTTGTGAAAAATGGGGGTTTAGGGCTCTGTGGGTGTAGGGGCTTTGTGATTCGTCTGATTGCTAAACATAAACATCAAGAGACAACAGCTGAACGAAGCGCCCAACAGGAGAAAACGCGTCAGAAACGGCAACATCCTCTTTCGTGGAACCCTAGATCCTATAAACCTAAACCCTAAACCCTAAACCCTAAACCCCATTTCCCATGGACAGAGGCACCTGGACATCCTCATTCCAGAAGACGGGCCTCTCGGGATAGATGCCGTTGTAGGTGCCTTTCAAAGCAGAGAGCTGCTCCCTAAACCCTAAACCCTAAACTCTAAACTCTAAACCCTAAACCCTAAACTCTAAACCCTAAACCCTAAACCCCAAACCCTAAACCCTAAACCCTAAACCCTAGGAAGCATGAATCCGAAAGCGCGAAAAACCCCGAACCACCGAAATCGGGGCCGAAATCGGCCGAAGCACCGTCGGAGGATCCACCCGGGAAGGCATGAATGTCCTTGGCTCCGACGAGAAATGGGGGTTTCCGAAAATAGGGGACCCTAATATAGTACCCTACATAATAGGTTCCTTATTATAAGGACCCCCAAAATAAGGTACCCCAATTTTCGGAAAGTCCCGAATAGCCATTCCTACACCGGAGCTGCATGAAAGCTTGCCCAGAGGCACGGCTTCAGAGCTTGCGGCTTCATGCGGCTGAGGGCTTTGAGCCAGACTCGAGGCCAATGCGCCAAGCATCCAGCAAGAACTTCAGGCCCAGCTGATTGCCCTGGCTGCAACGTTTTGCGGCCGAAGCTGGGGCTTCAGGTTATGATAGGTCTACGAGTACGGCACTTCAAGAAGAGAGGCCTACACATCATGGGTCTAGAGTAAGAAGGAGGCACGGCCAGCTGCGAGTCCAAACATCCGCGTGAGCAACGCATATCGACATAGGATGTAAAGGTCCGGAATGGTAAGAAGACTCTCAAAACTTGCGAGTACCGAAGACGATTCACGTTTGCTCTTAGCCAATACATCTGGGAAGACTCTCAAATCCCTACTTGTGCCTGTCCCGGTACACCTTCTGCAAACAATGGATGCAAGCCCCATGGCCCAGGGTCATGGTCTTAAGCAACAACATCAAAGGCTGCACGGATGGAGACCTACAACAGGCAATAGTGTCTGTGACCCTCAGCGGATCCTGGATGAAGAGCGACTCCAGAAGATTTCGCGGGATGGTCGCGTAGGAGATGTTCTCGCCGGGCTTTATGGATTTTTCAGGTGACACCAGGCTGACCGACGAAGATCACAACAGCTGGAACAGGCGGTCTGTACATGACCAGAGTCGTGTGGAGAACATGTTTAAGGAAAGGGGGTCATCATTTTGGGATTCAGGGAGGCGATGTGGGTTGGGCTGGGGGCCGTCTGGCATCCGTCGCTTTCCCTGCCAATTCAGCCGTTCGATCTGTTAGTCCAGCATCTAACGCTTTAAGTGCCATGAAGTACGATATCCATCGCTCTTCAAAATAGCGGGGTCCTTGGTGTAGTACGGATCGGGCACCTGCCGTGCAGTGCAGGTTGAGTTCTTCTGCAACACTGAACTTTACCTGACAGTAGCATTCCTTGTGGGTGAAGTCCCTTCCGGCATTGGCATAATGCGAGATTGAGGAGCAATGAACAATCGGCTCCCTCCTCTGAATCATCACGATGATGGGGCGTGTCGCGAGGCGCTGTGCCAAAATCTGCACCGCCGACTGATGCCACCCAGCGGCAATCACCGTGTCCTTGTCTGGATCGTGCGAACCGTAAGCCTCCTTGTCCTCAACGGGAGAGGCGGCTCATGGGCTCTGGACAGGGGTGTACAACATTAAAACCATGTGTAGCTTAGTTTACGTTGAAATACGGAGGTGCTTGGCAGTGTAGCAACCAGTGATGCAGATGGGTAAACCACTGTCTGCCTGTAAACCCACTGGCACTGACCCACTTCTCATCATGAATGCATTTTTGTGCTGTGCAGACTGCCGGTATAGGCAAATTTCACTTGGAACAACCAAATGTACTTGGGGCTGCTTGCTTGGCCAAGTGGCGACGACTGCAAGGGCATCTGCAAAGAGAGTCCACATGACAGGGATTCTCACCACCTTGATGCCGATTTCTTTCATGGCCTCAAGCTCAAGGGGTGGCATGACAGCATCCGAGCTCGTGAGGCAGGCGGCGGAGACTTTCTCACGGCACAACGCTCGTAGTCACAAATCTCTTTAATGCAGGTGCCTTAATAATTGGAATGGGGTTTTGGGGCTGTAATTATAATAAGGAACCCCAAACTGGTATAGGTAATCATTACGGCCCCTACATCATGCTGAACCTTCGTCATGTATAAACTTCCGCAGTTCCCTCTGCCCCTCGCCTGCAGGTCACTGGGATTAATGAAGTCATTCCTGGCAAGATGTGCAGCATCTGTTCCGTTGACCCATAGGCCCCATAGTAGTTCCTTTTTGTGGCTTATATTTATGATCCTATGAGGGAATCCCAAAAAGGAACTACTACGGGGCCTATGGGGAGAAGGCAACCAGTATCTCGCACCCTCTGAAGTATGGAGCACGCTTTGATGAAATCGAGCGCCTTACCAGAGAACCACCCATGCAAATCGTTGTGTGTCTTAGGAGACATGCGTGCTCGACATTTTTTCAAAGTGCCAGCAGCAAATCAGCAAACCGCTTCGGAGCAAGTAACTCCGGACGAAGACTATCAACCTCCTGCAACCCGCCACCTCGACAGCACACTCAGACATGCACAACACTCTCACAGGCTCAGCAGAGTGTAGCGACGGCCTGTGCGCCGTGAACACCTGCGCCGCAAACTTCTTGCCGTACGTTTTGGCAAGCCTGCCGGTCCACAGTGATCATGAAGAACCAAGATTATATCAGTCAGGGGAGTTTCCTGGGCCAGGGTGTGGTCCGAATTTGGCGGAAAAGGATCCATATGATCTTGGCAAAAAGATGCAGCAACACCCCTGAATCAGCTGCATGCCGACGGAACAGCACGACGACGCGCAGAGACGATGTATCATGTTTGGCAGGAGGTGCAAGAAGACCATGTGGGAGTTTCCGAAAATAGGGGACCCTAATATAGTACCATAAATAATAGGACCCTTATTATAAGGACCCCAAAATAAGGTACCCTAATTTTGGAAACTCCCATGTGCCGAGATCTCTGAGCTGTCGGCCGATGCGTGAGGACGCCCTCGGAAGGCCAAGGCTTCTCACCACCTTGGAAGGGCGAAAAGTGTGTAGCCAGGGACCCTACAGCAGTCTCGAGGTCCACAAAGTCTAATCCTAGTAGAGCTTGCTCTGGAACTCCTCTCTATTACACACCGACGCTAGCAATCACATCCAAAGGCCCTGAAACACGGAGACCAAGGCAAGGAGCCCTGGAGCAGCGGTGGGAGACAAGCACCCTGGCCTATGTTGTCGCTGGTGGACCTGGGTTTCAGGTTTAGGGCTGCATGAAAAGGACAAGTAACGTGATACCGAAACGACACATCCGAGCCTTACTACTAGGTCAAAGTGACAATGATCTGAAGTGGTTCATACTTAAGCTGTATAGTTGTGTTTGCTGCAAATCTGCACTCACAGCCATCTACTATACACACTACCTACATTTCATATGCCGCAGACATGGGCAAAATTGTATGCATGATACGGGCCACACCTGCCACATCGCACTACTTGCTACCCAGACAGTTGCTTTCAAAAGCATGAAACACACAAACACCTAAGCATGCGTGTGTTACTCTAACTATGCACATATACGACATGTATGTATGTATGTATGTATGTATGTATGTATGTATGTATGTATGTACGTATGTATGTATGGATGGATGGATGGATGGATGGATGGACGGATGGATGGATGGATGGATGCATGCATGTATGCATGCATGTGTGCAGGCATGCATGCACGCATGCGTGCATGTAATGTGCATGCCTAGGGAGAGAGAGAGAGAGAGACCTATAATAAACAAGCATATGTATGTATGTACGATTTGCTTTATGAACATGGGCACATAGTCACAGTTGCACATACATGCTTCGAGTTCTACAGCTGTTTATTTCAATGAACTCGTACTCCCCTGTCCCACTCCTGTATTGCTTCTCGTTGGCTTTGATCCACATGGGGGTTTCCGAAAATAGGGAACCCTAGTATAGTACCCTAATTAGTATGTAGGATCTTTATTATAAGGACTCCAAAAAAAGGTACCCCTTATTTTCGGAAACTCCCATAATCTGTATCACGAAGAGCTAGAGAGAATTGAAGATGCTGCCTATGCGAAGCTCGAAGATGGAGGGGAAGAGGAAGGGTTTAGGGCTTAGGGCTTAGGGCTTAGAGTTTAGGGTTGGGGGTTTAGGGCTTAGGCTTTAGAGTTTAGGGTTTAGGGTTTACAGCTTAGGGTTTAGGGTATAGGGAGAACGGGATGTACGGGCTCTACACGAGGCGGCTGCTCGGGATCCCGGCACGAAGCGCCCGGCAAAGCCAGAGAAGAACCAGTCTTCAAGGCAGAGCCATCCTGGTTTATCGATACCCTTAGGGCGTAGGGGATCGGGCGTTTCGGATTCGAAACGGGAGGGCCTTTCGATGAAGCTCGCAGGTCTCGATTGGGACTGGGAGCACTGGGAGCACGCTAAAGCACAGATCCACATCTTCCTACAGTGAGGTATCGAAGCCAAGGATAGTGTAAGCTCGACGCTGAAGATGTCCCTGCCCGTCCTCCGAGGTTGGTTCCATAGGGAGTGCCCGACCTCACGCGCATCACAGCAGCACGCAAGGATGCTGCGAAGACTTATCCGGGACAAGCGGCACGCCAGAGGCGTTCATTTCGGTACTGCTCCGAATCTGCATCAGCACTGCCTGTCGAAGAAAGGGGCTCATGCCCCGCGATACGCTCAGGTCAAGCCTCAACACCTCGGCCCCACAGCAGCCAAAACTCCTTTCACCGATGAAAACGAGAGTTCCGATGACGGCCACCCCAGAGCAGAGACATGCAAAGCAACGATCTACACACAGGATAGCACACCGCCTCTTCACCGGCTTTGCAGTGATCTCCTCTGCGACAATTGAGCCCACTCTGCAAGGGATCAGCTCCCGGTCAACTTCATGATAGCAGCTGACGTTCCGAACTACGGAGGACGGGCACATGCAAAATCTCATCGGATCTTCCAGTGGAAGCCCTTGTCCTGTGCAGGCTGCGGCTGCGTAGGACAGCAGCCCCCTGGAGTGACGCACCAAATCCAACTGCACCGACCCTGTAGCCTCCCTGGCTCAGAATATTCCTCGCTACTTTGCCTGCCCTGGTACCCCGCAAAACACGTCGATGAAACCACGCACCCCAAAACCGCCGGGGTGCAGAGAGCGCGCCCATACCCTCGAAGGTCGAGACATCGCTGGCCTCAGCATCGCAGCGAATGCCATGAAGACGTATCTACCCGTACACCATCCCACAAAAACAAGTTCAACGGCCGGAGGTGCGACATACCCTGAATCGGCAACTCTGTTGTTGCGTGCTGGGGTTTACGGTTTGAACCTGGAACCTGAATATGAGCCACGTGGCAGGCGGCCCTCGTGCTCCAAGCGAGTTAGAACGTGGGCTTGAGCCCAGAGGGCACCCGAGGTTGCACAGGGACACTCCCAAATACTAAAAAGTCCTGCCGAAACGAGAAAACCGTTGTCCCCTTCTTGATCTTCTTCTGGTGTTTTATGTCAGCTGCCAGTGCGGGCACATTCGGGTGCGCCGCCACTGTCTGTGATGAGTTGGAGGAGTTGGTATTGGGAACGATACCAGTAGTCTCGTCATCCAGATCATTGGCAGGCTTAGCATGGTGAGCACGCTTGACACGAGCATGACCAGTACTATGCATATACTTTCTCAGTCTCCTGGATTTTGCTTGCGAGTGCTGTTGCCAGTGTCCTTTTCTGCTCCCAGGCCTGCTTCTTGTTCTACACAACCCTTAGCACTGCATCGTGACTGGTGAATAACATCATCCTCCTGCTTCTTGTCATTATTGCCTCTGCTATCTACTGTGAGCCTTTGCATGTTTAGCTCTTGTAGCCACAGCAGGGTGATGGATGTTCATAATTGTGACAGCTGCTGCAGCCAACTGCCCTCATGGCTGCGGCATTGTCGCATTGACCCCTATGTTCGTTCCCTTTCTTCATGATGCTCTATGGTTGATCTCGTCGGTTGCTGTTGCTAGGATCACAATCCCAGTCTTCTTGCTTTTGCTTTTTGGCGTTCCCCATCGTCCATCGGATAGGCAATCTCCTCCAGGAACAGGCCGTTCGGAGGTGCCAGCGCCATCCTGCCGAGCCGAGGCTTCAGGGTTCAGCTTTTTCGGTGGTTTTTGGGGTCCCTAAATAGTAGGATCCTTATTATAAGGACCCCATCATAAGGTACCCCTTATTTTCGGAAACTCCCATATGCCACCAGGGTGATAAGGACGATGGGTTCATGGCTTCGGGGCCAATGGGATCCAGCACAAAAACCCCGCAATCCCAGACCATGCTCCAACGACATCCTCGAAACCATCTTGGAACCAGGACCATTGCAGACTTCCCTTTTTTCAAAAGCCCTGCACTCCAAGCAGCTCCCTGCAGACTTCCCTTGAACCCCAGAATTTCACGATGGACCGCGCCTTCCCTTAACCCTCTGCAAGGCATTGGCGAAGGTCGGAGAAGAAGCCTTGGACGACTTGCCCCCATCATCGGATCCACATACCACCAGTACTTAAACGGTAAAGTCGCTACCTCGTAGAGAACCACTGAAGGATTGTTGAAATGCAGATACAGAGATCTCCAGTGCCACATTTTTTGAAGGGGCAAAGGGATGAAGTTTGCAACCTACTGCCACTACCCCTCCTCCTCCTCCTCCTCCTCGCGTCTTCCATCCCTCCTCTTACCCCTCCTACCCTGCTGCTGCTGGAGTTAATTGAGACGACGCCGATGACATTGGTTACTCCTGTTCTGATTGAAACTGTTGCTGCTGTGCTCCGTTCATGTTCCTTCTGTCATCACTGTGGTTCTACTCAGTGACAAAAAGAAGGTCCGCCATCGCGAATCCCATCTAAGCTAGGGGCGTCCTGGAGATCAGCCACACCGATCACCCCCCGCGCGCAGGCCACGAGGGCAGAGACCACAACTCGCGCCATCCTGGTGGGCAGCAGTTTTGGCGTTGATTCCGTAGGGGCTGAGGTTGAGGGCAGAAAGCTGCTTGGGGTGTTTAGGTTTAGGGGGTTTCGAAAGTCGTGAAGAAGGCCCAACATAATTGAACAAGGCTGCCGGGGTCCAGCTGAATAGAGTCTTCAGGGCACCGCTTGAAGTTTAAAAGCCTAGGAGCCACATCACCAACCTGTTTGGGTCCAAGGACTCCAAGACTGAAAGCAATTGGTGCCGATATTGTTTCGATATTGCCTGCAAGACACAGCGACTTCGTGCTGTAGCCAGCTTTCATGGAATCTTCAGATGTCACCAGGACGCTGACTCTGGGATCTGACGGAGTCGAACCATGAAACCGGAACTCGAAATACCTCCAGGTCTGCATCAAGGTTGCCTGTACAGGAATGCCTCGCACTCCAAGCGCACGCTCCTCGCTTTGCTGGGGCGACTGCCGCTACTTCGCCGACCCGGTGGCACTGTTCCCACGCAGGGATGTCTCTGCATATGGGTAGTTCTCTAAATTAGGGTCCCTTTTGGTGTCCTTTTTATAAGGGTGCCGTACTATATTGGGACCCAAAAAGGGACCCTAATTTAGAGACCTGCCCATATCCATGCCCACTCCTGTTGATGAAGCGACGCCGGAGGAGTCCAACCCGCAAACCCGAAACCCCAGAACCAGGGCAGCTCAGGCTCAGCTTGTTTGCCGCAGAATCCCAACTTGTTTGGATGAACAGCCTAGGCATGAGAGACTCTAAGCTGGAAATCTGGCAACATCATCTCTGCTTGGTGGCTTATGCATCCACTTGTGCAGCAATATCAGTGCTGTTGATTGCGTTACTAACATGGCTTGCCATTGTTCCTTTTGTAGTCGTCGCTTCGGTTGCTGGTGGTGTTGGTGGCATCTTCAGTGTTGTACTTGCTGCTTTCCTGCTTGGTTGTTGGTGTCAGGCATCGTCTGCTTCTTGGATGGCGTCGTCGACTTCGTCGTCATCGTTGTCGTCGTAATCGTCGTTCTCGTCTTGGGGCCGGGGTGGTAGTATTAGTACCGGGACTGGTCGTTTTACCGGTGGGTAGCAGTGGCAACAGTTGTAGCAGTAGTCGCAATGGTAGTAGCTGGGACGAGAGCTCTATGGTGGACCGAGCTGCTGAAAGACGACTCGGAAAGACAGACATGCCTACACACGTATTGCGGACAGACAGACACACAGGCAGGCAGGCAGGCAGGCAGGCAGGCAGGCAGGCAGGCAGGCAGGCAGGCAGGCAGACAGACAGACAGACAGACAGACAGACATGCATGCACATAATCTAACATACACACATACATACATATAGGCATACAGACATACCTGCATACACATACAGATACAGAACTATAGGTGCACATGTGCATATGCCCAAATGCAGACGTATGAAATGAAGAACAAAGCTCCACAGCACTCACGACAATCCAATGCAAGTCCGTGCTAACAAGAACCCACACGTCAATGCTGTCCAAGAAGTGCAAAGAACCTTGAAGCAGGAGCACCCTGGGGCCAGCATCAGCAGCATCAGAAGGAACCCGTTTATCCTGCCGAAGCCCTCACAAACTCAGGCACCTGCCCGCCAAACCTCCCCCAGTATCCCAGGTTCACGTTGTGAGGTATTGAACGAAGCTCCCCGCGGGGGAGCTTTCGTGACTGACTGCAACATGTTGTGGCGAGAGGTCCCCTCATGCTGCGACCTTTCTAGGAACATTGTCCGGCTGAGGTTGCAGCCGCTTCGTCAAGGATCCGTAGTAATCCTCGTCGAACTCATCCTGCTGCCAGGCCACGCTGTCAAACCCCAGCACAGGAAGGTCACTGATGTGGCTTTTTTGGGGCAGACTGCTCGTCTGGACCCATGATTCCATGAAGTATGGGGACAATGAGCTCAAGCATGTGTATGGCGCATGGAGGACGAAGTCTCTAAGCCTTGAGTCCAAGCCATTAATTATCCCGAATCGCGCCAAGGAGGAATTAAATCATCAATGAGCCCTAGCTGGTTTATCTTAACCCGCATAACTTCCGTGCAAACTATGCTCATTAGGTCTTCTCAACCCCAGCCCTGGACCCCACACTCACTCAAAAGTACGCCTGCACGTACATCCCGAAACCTGCACCAAGCAAGCTGACAACGGCGAGCCCTCAAGGTTTAGACACGGTGATATTCCTTATTGCGATATGTGAAACTGAGGTGATACCTGGGCACTAGCAGTAGCAACAGCGCCAGCACCAGCACCAGCAGCAGTAGCACTAGCAGTAGTAGTCGTCGTCGTCGTCGTCGTCGTCGTCGCTGTCGGCGTCGCGGTGGCGGTGGCGGTGGCGGTGGCGGTAGTGGCGGTGGCGGTGGTGGTGGTAGTGGTAGTGGTGGTGGTGGTCGTCGTCGTCGTGGTCGTCGTGGTCAACGTGGTGGTCGTGGTGGTCGTGGTGTTCGTGGTGGTCGTGGTGGTTGTGCTGGTCGTGCCGGTGCTGGTGCTGGTGG